TTGCACTGTTGGAAAGTTTACTACTTTTCAAAAAGCACAGACTTGGATACTGTTCGAATCATCAGAGAGTTATTTTATGTAGGGTAGTGACTCTCTATGCACCAGTCTCTTTTCTGGCTCCTCTACAACTTCAAAACAAAACTGCATCCTCTATCCTTTCACACAATATTCCAAACAGTCTCTGACTAGTTAAAAGGACAGTGGGACACACTGTTTAGGAACATAAAACAAATTTTGGCAAAATTTACTCAGCAACAACAACAACAAAAAACCCTAAACTGTTATATGAGAAATTAGGGTAATCTTTGGATTCTGAGGGATTTGGCAAACAATATTCACATTTATCACCCAATCTATTTCAATAAGGTTGTAGACCTCTGTCAGGCTGCTTTCCAAATTGTATCAGAAGTAAAATTTTTGGCACCTTCTTTATAGTCTAGTTATTTCTCTTTGAACTCCCTTTGGCTATGTTTTATTCTCCTGATGATTTTCTTTTCCTACCTCTGCTTCTATCTTTCTATATCTCTTGTTCTCTCTTCTTTTTTCATCAAGCAATTATTCAACAAACGTTTGTGCAGTACTACCAAGTATCAGGCACTGTGCTAGGCATGAAAAAATCAAAGATAATTAGATCTGGCTCAAATACCGGCTAAGGTGGAGAGACAGACACAAAAACAGTTAGTGTAACATTGTGGTGATGCAGTGAGATAGATATGCATAGGCTTCTGGGAGAACACCAGGAAGGAAGGAAGGAAGGAAGGAAGGAAGGAAGGAAGGAAGGAAGGAAGGAAGGAAGGAAGGAGGAAGGGAGGGAGGGAGGGAGAGAGGGATGGAGGGTGGGAGGAAGGAAGGAAGATAACTCCTCATGAAATCTAAAGTGAGTCTAAGCAGTATCTCTCAAACTGTAAATCACTTAAGGATCTTGTTTGAAAACGTTTGTGTCAGTAGATCTGATTGGGACTTGAGATGCTGCTTTTCTGGCAAGCTCCCAAATGAGGCCCGTGTTGTTGGTCCCCAAACCATTCCCTGAATTGCAAAGGTCTTAAAAGACGACAGATGGCTGTTAGTATAGGACGGGTGGAGTGAGTACAGGCAGAATGGACAGTGTGCAGTGAATCACAAAGAAACACTGAGTGTGCGTGAGGAGACTGAAGCACATCGATGTCCCAGGCAATTTGAGCGCTCGTCAGTTCCTAAAATGGGGGTGGATGGGAGTATGGCATATTTTAAGGAGTAGGGCATTTATTTACATAGGCAACGGAGCATATCAAAGTAAGCAGGACAGTTACATGGTAGAAACTGCAAATCAGATCTGGTGGCCTCATTAGTAGAATCATGGGCAAGAAGATAACAAGCTAGGCTACTTTAAATAAATCTGCTAATGACGATGCGGGCCTAACTTATGGCAGGAACAATAGATTTATTTCAAAGGGAACTGACTTGAAAAACATTTAGGAGATAAAGTAGGTTGATTGTATTTTCACCGACAGATTTACAAGTTAGACAAATTGTGATTTCTTCGCATTCATTGCAGGCCTAGTGTCTGTTCTTAATCTGACACTCAGTAACATGTGATCTTTTTTTTTTTTTATTTGGGTGGTGGCGGCTGTGGTGGTGGTGGTGGTGGTGGTGGTGAGTAACATGCGATCTTGAACAAGACACTGATCCTCTTTTTGCACCAGTTTCCACATTTTAAAACAGTGAAGAGTTGATCCAAATAAACACTGTGGTCTCTTTAAATCCTCAACTTTGTGATCCTATGAATTAAATTCAACTAAATCATGAAAGCATAAAATGTATTCTTAAAACTTACCACAATGCCTGAAATATAAATATACAATGAATGGCTAATATTAAATCTACCTAACCAACAGGTAGTAAAACTTGAGACTTTTAAAATCCGCCCTCTTCTTCACCCACAACCTTCATTACTGAGTCCAGCTGCTCTCTACTTATGTCCTACTGGTGATCCTTTGGTTTATGCCCTTAATCTTTTTTAACTGGATTCCTGCGCCAGCACCTTAAGTATTCTCTCTGGCTCCAAACACTATCTGAGAAACAAAAGCACTCTGGAGTCAGAAAGCCCTGGGCTTCTGTGCTAAGCCCCACTGTTCCTTAGCTGTGTGACTGCCAGCAAGTTATTTAACTTCTCCAAAGCTAGGTTTCCTTATCTGTAAATCACAAAGATGACATGAAGATTAAATGTTTGTAAAGTGCTTAGCAAAGGGCCTCCTGCACAGTAAGAACTCAATAAATGCCAGTGATTACTCTGAAAGACAAATCCCACAAAGACTAGCAGACACTTCACACAAAAAAAGGAAAATCAAATGGCCCATAAAAAACGAAAAGCTGTTCTTCATTAGTAATCAGCGAAATTCAAATTAATACTTCCATGAGTACAATTATGTACCCACCTGATAGCAAAACGTAAGAACTTATAAAATTAATGTTGATGAGCATGTAGAGCTTCTCATGCATTGCTGATGTAACCAACTGGGGAAAATATTTAGAAAAACTGAACACGCACATACTCAAAATTCAGTAGTTCATTGCCTTGATATTTATCCTAGATACGCTCATACACATGTATACTAGAATCTGTGAGCAATTATATGCATATATATATGCATAAAGAGTATTACATATACTTAATAACTTTATTTATTATAGTTATTTATTAAATAAATATATATATATATATATAACTCAGGTTTTATCTAGGTATGCAGAAATTTATATTAAAGTTGTTTGGATGCATCCAAGAAGATTTCTTCCCACTGTTTAACACTCAGTTGCGTGGTCCATCTAGTTCGTGTTATATATTAGTATAAGTAATATTGAAACAATCCAACTGTCCATCAATAGTAGGATGAATAAGTAAATCGGTATATTCATGGAATAGAATGCTATACAACAATTTGCATGAATAAACTAAATGAAATCAACCTGGAAGAATCATACAATGTTTAGCAAAATCAGGTGATCTAGAATAGGTGTGCTATGTTACAAGATGGAAAACCTACAAAGAAAAGTAAGGGGACAAGTGTGACAACAGGCTGGGTGGTGGTTAGTGGTTACCTCTAGCGGGGAAGGAAAAGCATGTGATCTTAAAGGAACACACAGGGACTTACTGGGAATCTATTTCTTAATATAAATGGTAGGTATATGAGATTTGCTTTATAATTATTCCTCAAACTGCATTTTTATACTCTCTTCTATGTGTATATTTTCACAATTAAAACATAAACGTGATCATGTCAATCTCCTAGTTAAAATCTTTCAGAAGTTCTTCATTTTTGAATAAAATCCACATTCCTTAGGTTTTTCTAAGAGTGCCTTTTTTATGCATCTCCTGTACCCTCTTCAACTTCATCTCTACCACCCTCATTTATGCCCCAGCATGATAAATGGCACATAGTGCCCCCAAATAATCATGCTATCTCAAGTCTGTAGGCCTTTGAAAAATGTTCCCCCCACTCCCCTTCCTCTGGCTAACCTCTAATTGTCCTTAATATTCAGATAAAAAGTCAGTCCCTGGGGTAAGCCTTCCTTGACAAGTCCCCACCCCACCTATATTATTAGACTGCTGCACTTCCTGTAGCAAGCACCCTGTGTCTACCCATTTAAGAGCACCGTGTAAGTACCACACTTCAGAATATATCTGTCCCTTTTAATGGCATATTTCTCCTTCATCTACACCAAGAGCTAAGGATGATATCTGTACCAGGGATCCTCAATAAATGTGTGCTTCATGAATAAATGTGTAAGATGTTTTCTACATCACTGGAAGTGATACATAACTCAAACTATTAAATTCAGCCATATAAACTTGCCCTTATTTTAGATTGAAAACCGTTGACTTTTGGCGATTACATGATTCCCTTGTAACAAACACTCGTTTAATACATGTTGATTAAGGATAGAATAGTGATGCCTATTATATCGGCTTTCTCAATATCTGTAAGCAGCCTGTAATGAAAATCATGATGTGAAATAAGTATAGGGTTAATTTCACCAGTCTTTTCGCAGTGATAGGTTACACATTAGTTTACAGGGCAGCCCACCTACCCAGCATTATAGAAGCCACTAAGCAAATGAAAGAGAACTATTGATCACTAGCTCAAAACAGCTTCTTTTGAAGTCTTACAAGCACAACTGTCACACTCTATTTCTCAGAGATGTTATTTGACAGATAACTGGTTCATCTCCGTGGGAGACTATTGATTATTGACTTTGGTGACTGTGAAGCATCAACCTTTTGATTAAAAAAGATATTTTGCCTGTGTGTGCTGATATTCTTATAAGATAATTTTTTTAATTATTCTAACTTGCAGAGCAACTGGATCCATTTTTAATATTGTTTTTATCAAGCAAAAGGATTTCTAGACTAACATATCCATAGAGTTTTATCAAATTGTGATGTGCTTTCTCTCCCTTTATATTTAAAGATCTAAATGTATTTTATATATATATATATATATATATATATATATTCCTATATAGTTCTACATATTTATATAGGAATGTACATGTGTATGTGTAGGGAAATATATATATATATATTTATACACGCACACACATATATATGGAATTGAGCATTATAATTTAGCTCAGACCAATTCTACTAGAGGGGATGAATTCGTAAATATAGAATGATGTTCCAAAAAATAAAACCACTGGGAAATACTGTTCCCAACTGTCACTCAGCCACAATAATTGTTCATTGCAGCCATCTTACATAAGCTGGTATCATCCAGGGTGTTAGCATCACGGTTCTATACGAAGTACCCATGCATCTCAAGACCTCATGCTACTATATGTGGTATTAATAGTATGACACCATCAGTTAAGTATTCTGTCCTACTGATTTTCATTCCTTAGTTGTCATTATTTGGAGCAGTATTTCTTCAGATCCATACCCTAAATCATATGCACTATTTAAATTTGTTATACAAATCACATATTTCCTGCTAAGGAACATTTTCAAATTTGCAACTCACCACTGCTTGTATGGTATCTCATCTATAGGAAATGGGTCTAATTCAACAGCCTCTTGCATGAGTTGCTATAACGAAGATCTGAGATGATCCTGCCATTGGGGTTTCTCACGCTAGCCTAAAATCAAAGCAAAAACACAGACAAGTTTGATTTTAACATTTAAAGGGAATTTCACCTGCATGGAGAAAACCAAAAGACTGACAAAGATCACTGGTGATGGGTAAGTCTGGGGGAAAGAATATAACATGCCAAGGTAGTTCATTCTGTAAAGTTATCACAAGCACAAGAGCTTTGGTTTTACCAACACTAGCATAGGTGGATATTTTAAAATCTACACATGAGCCCCATTAGTAATTGTTGCATTGGGTGATATGGATTTGGTTGTATGATACAAGGCACTTTACTAAGATTCAACTCGGACAGCTCCACTGTTATATGTTTGCATATTCTGCTTCTCATGTAAGATTTCATTGGAACAGTGGATTACATAGTTACAGATAACAGGAGGAAAATTTGAAAACCACTTAAGTATATGAAATAAAATAAAACTAAACTAAAGTTGGTCTGAAGCAAGAAAGAGACCTGAATTTAAGTTTTTCCATAATCTGGTCTAGTTATTGAAGGAGGTTTGTAATGTCCATCTGCTACTGTTACTTTTCAACATTATATTGAACCAGATTCTCCGGGACTGTGCCAGTTTCCAGGGTTCTGCCCATTATCAAACCATGAGTTTTGATCTCTAGTTTGGAAAGTATGGTCACCATACCTAAAGCAGACCTCCTCTCTGCCCCAATACGAGTCCCTTTCTGGGCCAGGGGCTTACAACTGCTGCTAGGAATCTCTCCCCTGCCACACCCTTCTGCCCCAGTGCCATCACTATGTGGCCCCAGTGTCACCCACCACCATTTTAGAGGAGACGAATTTCTTTTGCCTCTGAATTCCTATTACATTTATTGTAAAATCATTCATATGTGCCTTTGATCATATATACCATCTTTGTTATTTAACCTCATCTCCGTAAATGACTATAAGCTTCCAGGTGACAGAAACTTTGCGCTACAGCTTCCCAAACTCTGCCAACCATAGCACTAAGCAGAGAACTCTGTACATGGGAGACATTCATTCGAGGAATATTTATTGTGTACCTACTATGTGCCAAACAGACCCTAACTGTTCCTGACAGAGATTATAATTTAGTGAAGAATACGGGAAACACAGGAGTAAGCAATCACCATGTTGTGTGGTCAGTGCTGTGACGGAGGAAGTACAGACACTGAATAAACAGTGCCAAATTAAATGGACTCAAGAGCTTTCCTTCACTATTATTGTTTTCAGATCCTGTTTCCAGCATTTGAGAAAGGGACAATTACTTGAAGAAACTCATTTTCGGGAAGCACATGGAGCATCTGGGAAGGTTGGCATCCAAAAACCAGGAGACAGTTTTAATTCCATGAAGACAAGTCGCTAAGATGAATTTCTAATACTTTTAAGTCACTGCTGGTTTGTGTTTTTGTTTTGTTTTGTTCCTGCTTCCTAATACACACACACACACACACGCACACACGCACACACATGTGGCACATATGTACGAGGTATATAAATGTTCGAGGTATATATGGATATGTATACATACATATGAGTGCACGCACGCGCGCGCACACACACACACACACACACACACACACACGCACGCACAGTAGCAAAAATCCCGGCATGCGCAGGCCACTCTGCAAATGGCTGATTGCCCTGTAGGGGAGCTTCATTTTATACCTGCACACCACACGGGTTTTAGAGTAACTGTGGGTTAGGAATGCTTCTAAGGAAATTTCCCTCATTTCTTTTTCCATTCAAAAACTCTAATTTCCATTCCTAGGTGCATTTGTTCTACAAGCCTGTAAGCCTATAACCCCTATGAGGTTTTACATTTCAGAGTCACTGGGGATATGAACAGTAAGAAAGGCCACAGTGGTTTGTTAGGAATCCAAAATGTCAATTCAACTATAAAACCCTTTACCAAAAATAAGTATAAATTTGTTGCACTTTTAAATCCAAAACAATGTCTCTTTCTATTTAAGGACATTCAGTATCACCTGAGGTCTCCATTTAGAGTTTCTACCAAGATTCTCAATAGGAAAGCTCCCCTCCATTAAATAAAGGTGGGAGGAGGAACAGTACCTAAACAATATAGCTTACAGATTTTTCACATTCCCTCCCCCTGTGCCTTGATTTTCTCATAAGAATAACATGTAGTCAAGCTAAATCTTTAGTCAAAAACTTAAAACTTTGTTACAAAAATATGCATTGACAGGTAAATTTCTGAAAATCCAGGCTCCAATTCTAAATTACATTTTCTCCTTCAAACAATCGATATGCAGCATGATCTGTTATCTGAATCAGCAGTGATGTCTCATCTCAGATTTATGTAATGCAATAAATATATCTAGTATGCAAAAGAAACAAATGGATCCTAGTCTTCTTCACCCAATAAGCATCTCCTCCAGTAGTCTAGAGGCCCAACTTTTTCCTCAAGTCTTTGGTGCTCAGAAAAAGAAGTAAAGGGTTCATGTGTGTCAGGAAGGAAGTATTCAGGCTGCAGCAAATACAGCATTGTACTCCTTCTGTGTCATTACTGGACACTTTGTGCCTCTTTTTGCATAAATGTTGCAACATCCAACCAAAAGCTTAAAAGAGACTGCAAGAGAAAAATGGTAGGAGCAAAGGAGAAAGAATTTAAAATGTCAATTTGTTTACTTCTTTATTCTGATTGAAGAGTGCCTCTCTTGCTTTGAGTCCTAAGCAACTAAGCAATCATTTGATTTGAACACACCAATTCCATGCAAAGTCTTTTAGCTACAGATGTGGCCTGGAGCCAGAACCAGAGCAGGAAAGGTGAGCATCTACCCTCATGTTTCACAAACAAGTAAATCCCCTATTTGTCTTTATCATTTATCATCAGTCGTAAGACTTTTTCACTAAGATTACATCCGAAGTAATAGATTCATTTACATAAAGCCACAATAAAACTTAAAAAAAATTCCTTTAAATATAGGAGGCTTTACCTTAAACGTAGGAGGATTTTTCCCATTGCTTAGATTAGGCAGATGCCTTTTGCTTATGACATTCCTACAGGATATACTAACAAGGGTAATCCTATGAATTTTCCTGTACTTTTAAAATACACATATATTTTATAGCATCCACAATCAATTCTCAGTTCATTCTAACCTTGAAAAACCTTGACCGCGTCCCAAGAAAATATTAAATACTTATAGCTACAGACATACCAGACGATGACAGCAGAAACACACGCGACCCCTCTGGGATCGGTTCATAAACACCCCAGTACAGCATGGCAAACGCACTCCTCCCAGCACCAGATGCTGCTCTGGGGCAGGCAAGCAGAAAGCCGGAGGCAGCTGATCTTTCACACTACATAAAATTTCTCACTGCCTCGTCATCAAGAACCGTTTTACCAAAACTGTGAAGATTCTGTAATTCCAGGAGCCCGTCCCATTAAAGATACTTTGCAACCACAGGAGGGGGTGACGTGCAAATGAGGAAACATGAAGACCATAATATCTAAGGTCAGACCACCTTGGTCATCCGCTTTTCTAGTTCCGCTGTGAGGGAGAGGAAATCCAATTTGCTCTATGTGGTAAAATAAGCTAACCCAGGGCTTTCTGTCAATTTTAAGAGTGAGATCAAGGCAGAGAAGGGAATACTTACCAGAGGCAGTAAAAAGACTACGTCCAAACTGTCCGACCCCTAAAATCCAACGGTTCCAAAGTGGAGTCAGAAGCTTATGAGCTCCTCCATGAGCATCTTTATCTATATGTACACCATACATGCTCACTTAAGGCAGAAAATGTACAGAAGCCTCTCAGAGAGCAATGGTCATTCCTGCAACCATCTTTAACATGTTGATCAGCAGCATTCTGTGATCTTCCAGGGTCCGACAACTAACAGTCTAGGGGTAGAGGAAGAAACTGGACCTTGGGCTGGCAATGCCTGATGCACTTACATCCATTTTCCTTCCACCTGAACTGTGGCCTGTCCATTATGACTTAGCCTGCTTCTTTCTGGCGCGTTCATAAAAGTTATCGTCAACACACCAGCAGCAGGCAGAGCTGCTGTACAGACACTGTCAGCCTCTGCAGCAAAGACAGCCCATGTAAACAACCTTGTGATTGCTTCAGGGCCGACTGCCTTAAGATAAGCCATTCTTTTTCTGTGGTTAAGCTGCAGTACCCTGGGAAGTTATATCTTTAAGGGGGTAAAAGCAGGGCCTTAGTTTCTAGATTTAAATGTAGAAGGGAAAAAAGAAATATATGTGTGTATATATAATTTTCTGGAAATAGCTCTAACCTTGATTCACTTGAAGACTTTCCAATAAATCACACATGTATTTTGCTGCAGGCACAAATACATAAATTCTGATAAATATATTGCCATGCTCATTTCCCCAAAAAGAGCTCTGACATTTCTAGGGGACACAGTATCCCAGCACAGAATACCTGGGAACCATGCCATTTAAAAAAAAAAATGCTGCCTGCTGAGACTAGATCACTTCCTTAAAGGGACCCCTTCCCTATATAACTGCAGTGCCAATGTGTCCTCTTACCTCTAACCTGACCCCTGTTCTGTGTTCCTCGCCTCAGTCCAAATTTAGCCTAGAGTGTCTCTTCAAGATTAATGCCATTAGTTTCTCAACTAAAATATATAAACCATTCCCTACGAAAATGTGTAAATATGTCCCAAAATATTTATTTAAGTTACACCTTTCAAGAATTAAATATAAATGCACACTTAAAGACATTATTTTTTAATGTTTTATGGAAGCCATAGCATTTCTTAGATATGGGACCGAGGTCAGCACTTCTAACAAGCACAGCTGTTCTCTCTCTCTCTCTCTCTCTCTCTCTCTCTCTCTCTGTTTTTCTCTTCCCTTCTGTAGCTGTGCATTGGTCTAAAACCTCCTGGTCACAATAAGAAAGCCCTCCCACCCTCTGCCAACCCTCACTGCAAACAGAAAGGTTCCAACACACCCAAGTCTGGGGCGAGATGCTCCACACACAGGAAAGGCTGGTGGTTTCTTGCCTCAGAGGTAGTTCACTTCATTAACCTCCTTTCCACCCCATCTTTCCACCCTCTCCCATCCTCGCTCTCCCACCCCACCAGGAGCAATTAAAAGACATCACCACACCCTCCAAAAGGCAGGTTAGAACCCAGAATGAGCAAAGAGCCACCTACCATTCCGTGCTTGAGAACTACGATCCTGATCCAGCAGTGTTTGCCCCAGAAAGCCTCCCTACTTGTTTGCCATTAACCACATTCCAAACTGTAATAAGGAGCAGATCCTCTGGAGGTGGGCAAATTGTTTAAAATTAATGATGGACAGGTGATTTCCAAGCAAACCCAATCGTAAAGTCACTCAAGCCCCTAGGAATTGAGGGGTGAGGAGAAAAAAGGAAAACAGTAAAAATGAATAAAGAAAAGAAAAAGGTAAGCATATAACAAGCACCACCCACCCCCATACAAATGAAGAGAGAAGAGAAGGCTTTAAAAAAAGAAGAAGAGTGGCTTGCTGAATCACCCTCTTTCACTGCCTGGAAACCATTGTGCAGCGTGATGCTGCCTGTACCATTGTGGAACCTACCAGAGGAGACGGACACGGGGCTTGGGGAATGGGGTTGCTATGGCAACTGAAAGGAGCACACATGACGTCAAAGCCCAGAGAGGTCCAGGGAGGGGCGAGAGGGGAAAAGGGAAAGAGGAAAAAGTCTACGTGTAGCTACAGCTTCTGTGTTTTCCGGTGAAATGAGGACCAAGCAAAATATAAAGGAACAGGATTTGTTGGCCGCCACTGTCAGCAACTCCATCAGGCAGCCAGTCTGCACAACCCAGAGAAACAATCGGCTCCTTGCAGCCCTGGCCCTGGACACAGCCATGTGTGCTGAGGAACAAATGCCCGCAGACCAAAACACCACTGGAAATACGGTCAATCTCTGCTTTTCAACTGGCTCAGCTTTTTGCAAACAGCACAAAGAGAGACATATAGTATCTATAAATGTCAAAGCAAACAAGGATGGTAATAACCTCAGAAGGGATGTGAGCATTTCAGTCCTGTCTGGACCCCAGAGGTCATCTGCACAACACTATTCTTCCCTGTTTCCCTTGTTTCTAATAAAAATCCTAAATAAATACCCACGAAATCACACAAAACAAACTGATTCTTAGACTGCAATTTGAATGTGGAAAGAAAATACAGATTATTTGAGTTAACAAATCAGGGCTCTTTATATTATTATTATTATTGGAGATAATTCTCTGGAAAACTGATGCAAATTGCATTATTACTATTTGCCACAAATACCTCAATTTTATTTAAGTAATTTGCCCTGCCTTTGACTGTCAGAGTATATTTTTAATTCTCCGTAAGGTTTTAACACCTACAAATAATAGGGTTGTTTTAGAATAAGAGCAGTTGACCACTTCCACTACTAAAAAAAAATTATCAAAGGTTTTTAAACTTTTAAAAATACGTCCTTTCATAAGGAAAATGTACAATACATATTTGGCCTAACCAGCCTCAGCCCTTGAACTTCTCAAGTTACCTAATCTACCCAAATTTCTTTTTTGCTAAATTAAACAATTTTGAGGTCAGTTTCTGTCTATCGCAACCAAGTAGTGCTGAGTTTTATACCATTTTACATTATGTTTTGGAAATAGCATATTTACATGAACAAGGAGTTTCTTCCATGTATTAACAAAAAACATACAACATGCAACAGAAATAAACGAAGCCATGATTGTAGACAATGAAACACATCATAAAACTGTATGAGACCACATCAGGTTTTATCGTTGTTGTAGTTGCCACTATTATTTTATTCAGGAGAGAATCCAGAAAAAGAAAGTCTTGCATGAGCTTTCTGTCTCTTTTCTTGTCATTGGACAAGGTTTTGGGTGGTGCTTTACTCTAATAATCAGTAAGAATCAGTTGATTATTAACTTTTAGTCTTGGCAATTGGCCTACCTACAAGATGACTATGTCTCAAACAAAAATATGTACTGATTAGCCAAACAGCTTTATAGTACAACGTATCTAATTGGCATTCAGGCTTTTAAATTATTGCATTCTAAATTCTAAGCGTCAATTCCCAATAACTGAATGTTAATGAGGAAAACATGAATTTCAACTGTTATCTCATACTGCAAGCATAAAAATTAATTCAAGATAAATTATACACTAAAAGGCAGAAGCTAAAATCTATAAAACTATTAGAATAAAATGTATCTTTTAGAAGAAAACATAGCTTTCTGATCTCAGAGTAGGCAAAGATTTCCTAGGATGCAGGCAGTACTCATCACAATAGAAAAAAATAGATGTAATCAAAATTACAAGCTTCCACTTATCATTAAGAAAATGAATAAACAAGCCACAGACTAGAAGAAAATACGCTTGATAAACATATCTGAAAATACTCTTGATATACACAAATTCTGGATTACATAAAAATATTCTACAACTCTGATAAAAACAAATAATCTTGGTTAGTGGGCAAAAGTCTTGAGCAGGTTGACACAGGAAGATTTATAAATGGTCAATAAGTATATAATAAAAGTATTCAACATCATGAGCTATCCAAGAAATGCTAATTAAAACTGCAATCAATGTCATTTCACACCCACAAACATGGCTAAAATTAAAAAGACTAACAATACTAAATATTGGCTAGGATAGGGAGAAGCCAGAACGCTCCTACATTACTGGTGGGAGTATAAAATGTTTAAACTGCTTTGGGAAACGGTTTGGCAGTTTTTCTACTTATAAACACACAACCCATAGAACAACTCAACAATTCTATTCAGAGTCACCCAAGAGAACAGAAACACAATGTCCACCAAAAAAAGTTGTACATAAATGTTTATGCCAACTTTATTTATAATTGATAAAAACTGGAAACAACTCAAAATATATCAACAGGAAAATGGATAAGCAAATTGTGGTATAATCATGTACTAGAATAATATTCAGCAATAAAAAAGAATGGCAAATATGAATAGGTTAAAATCAATCATTGTCTTCCATTAGGTGTTCATCCTTGATGGCACAAGTTACAAAAAGTGCTAGATGCCAATATTATTCGTAGATTTTTTTTTACGGTTTTATTGGGGAATTGGGGGAGGGGAACAGTGTTGGGGAATTGGGGAAGGGGAGCAGACAAGTTGTTCCTCACTCTTCGTTGTGGAGGGCGCCAGTCACCATCTCACTTCCCGTCAGCAGCTCGTGGCCTCTAAGCTCAAGGTGCTGTGTTCAATCTTAGTTGTGGGTGGGCGTAGCCACCATCCCATGCAGGAGTTAAACTAGCAGCCTTGTTGTTAAGAGCCCATACCCTATCCACTGAGCCATCTGGGTGGCAGCTCAGCTCAAGGTGCAGAGTTCAGTCTTAGTTGCAGGTAGGTGTAGCCCACCATTGAATAGGCAATCTTATTGTTACACCAGCTGAGCCATCCTGGCTCCTGTTGGCAGCTCAGCGACAGCTCAGCTTGGACACAGCGTCACTGGCCCATGTGGGAATCAAACCAGCGGCCCTGTTGCTCAGAGCTCGTGCTCTTAAGCCAACTCTTAACCAACTGAGCCACTCAGCTGGCCCCTTGTTTGTAGATTTTGAAGTGGATTTTACAATTTTAGGCTTTCATTCTCAAACTACTCATTTCAGTGATATTAGATGATTAAATGGTCTTTTATGTCTATTCTATTCAACATGGAAAAAATAATTTCCTAAAATTAGGTCATTTAATACAAGTTCATTGAAAAAACTCAACATCAAAATTGATCTCCTTCCTCAATGGATAAAACCCAAAGTCCTGAATAAGCTAATTTGAATGTAAGTCTCTATTACAACTTCTCAATCCAACACAGTATGTTTCAGAGCCTCTCTTCCAAAAAAAATAATTTTTTTAATATAAAAGAGAGAAAGAAAAAGAACAGATAACTATTGATATCACTATATTTGCCAGGCACTGGGCTTATGTGTAGTTGCATCCATCACATAAACTCTCACAAAAGTACCTCCTTTCTTTCATTTGGTATTTACCATAATGTATTTTGTATTACTCTGATTTTATAAATATAAAATATCTTACCTTGAATTTGACTGGGACTTAAACCTCTCTGTATTTCATTTTCTTCCCTGAAAGTTCCCTTTTCCAGCAACCTAGCATATCTGCTTACACATGGTAAGTGATCGGTAAACACTTACGGTTAATTATAACTATCTGTGGTTATAGAACTAGTTTTACTAGCTATAAAAACTTTTTATCTCAAATATTATTATGGGGTGTTAAGTTTTGAGATATCCAGTACTAAAGCAGGTAACCTCTGTTACAGTATTACATATTTGAACTTTAACTGTTTCAAATTCTTTTCAAAGTGCTTTCAAATGAAACTGTATATCATCTAAAAGTCTGACCTGAATTCTATCAGTCCTATCATGATAAATTCTTGAAAGAAGAGTTTTAAATGAATAAATGAATGGAAGTTCTTATTTTCAAAAGCAAAGAGTTGTATTTAGCAAATCCCAGATTTGTTTATTTAATGGCATGTTTGTAGTCTGTGGTAGGATTGAAGATGTCCAGGAATATAGCTTGTTCTCCAGGCAAGGAGAGCTCCCTTCCCTTGTTAATGAAAACGTTGGGACAGGTAATTTTCTAAATGAACTACTGACATGCAACAATATAGATCTCATTCACATTAAGTGAAAAAAAAATGAGACAAAAGAGAGTATTCACTGTATAAGTCCATTTAGGTAAAGTGCTAGAACAGACAAAACTATTCTGCACAATAGTCTAGAATGGACTTGAACACTCATGAGAATCAAAGGTCCCAGCTTGGAAAGAAAGAAAGTTACAAAAGAAAGAAGTCTGAGTCCAGTGTTAACAGTGATGTTGCTAAAGAGGAGTGCCATCTAGCTACACTTTCTATTTTTTTTTTTGTCCGGGAGGACTGGAAGCATTCTTGGCAACGAGCCCCGAGTTTATTTTTCCTCCCCAATATATACCCCCAGAGTACATGCAACACAGAAAGGAAAAATATGCATAACCTCAGTAAAAGTACATCATTAGTTACCACCTAGAAACCTGAAGGTCCTTGGAAAATTTAGAGGGTCAGTTTTCCAGGAAACTATCTTCTAAAAACCCAGACAGCCCTCTATCTTATTGTGTCTTCCAAGGAAGTTGCGCAGCGGAAGCGTGCTGGGCCCATAGCTACACTTTCAACAATTGGATTATTTGTTGAATTAGGATGGTGGCAAGAGGATGCAAATGGTTTCATAAACACAACCAAAATTATGAAAGATAAATCGATCAAACTTGGTGAGTGAATAAATAGGAGGGGAATGCAGAGGGTCAGTGATGGCTGTGATTCACTATCATTTCAAAATATATAATAATAGTGTCTCTCAGGAAGTCAGTCATGTGTTTGTTTGTTTTTATGCTTCCATTTGGGGAACACTTGTCCTTTGCAAAACTATTCCATAGTTTAAGTTTCAGAGATGCTGCATATACCGTCTCCATTTTGAAAAAGCTGTATTGCACATTACTGAATTAAAACACTGAGAAAACTTGAAGTTAAAAAAAACTGACTTAAATAGCCTAT